TATTTTATTTTATTTTTTTTTTGATTGGTTTGTTTGTTTTTATTCGAGCCCTATTTATTTTATCTTATGTTTTTTTTTCATTTTTTTTTTTTTTTTTAATATTGCCATCGTTTAATTAACGTTCGGATCTCGTTTTTTGTATTTCTTTTTTTTCTTTTTTTTTTTTTTTTTTTTTTTATTCTTTCCTTTTTACATCGGATCCCTTTCAAACCATCGATTTTAATTTATCGAGAAATCATTATCGACAGAATTTTTTATTGCTATTACTTGTTGAATTTCAATCTCTTTTTTTTTTTCCTTTCTTTTTTTTGTGTGTACAAGATTTAAGAAAAAGAGAAAAGAAAAAGGATAAAATAAAATATAAAGGAATAATTAATTTCAACTCATAATATCAATAATTTCAATTCATCGATTATTATTATTATTATTATTATTATTATTATTATTATTATTATTATTATTATTATTATTATTGTTTGTAATTATTTATTTTTTATTATACGTATGATTTGAAGAAACAGTCGTGATTAGGCTTAATTAATAATGTACAGGTTCGTGAAAGAAAGAAATAAGAAAATTATAAATACAAGTTATGTTAAGTTGTTAAAGATAACCAGTGTAGGAGAGAATTCTCGAATGAGTCAGGAACCCGTTATTGCATTCCTTTCCAGAACGGGTGGAATTATGTGACCTTGAGATCCGAGTGTCTTCGTTCGCAAGATGACACTGGTCGAACAATGCGACGTACGCTATTTAAATGTCCAACAAGACATTCCCTCCGCCCCAACCCCATTTTACCATTCTCCCTTTCTCTTTCTCTTTTTCTCTCTCTCTCTCTCTCTCTCTCTTTCTCTCTTTTAAAAAACGTATGAAAATATTATTTCCAATAATAATTACAATTTTTAATCTTTAAATAAATATGACGAAATAGATAGTCTGATTAAATTATATCGAAATATTATTTAATTAATTTATTTAATTTTATATTTATTAAATTAAAAAAGATATTTAATTAAATAAATTTAATAATTTACATTATATATATATATATATATATATATATTTGATTTATAAATTAATTATTTTTAATATACAAATATTTATTTAAATACATAATTATGATAAGTTTAATTTAATTACTACAATGGCTCAGTCGTCTAAAGCGGTACCTATGAAAACATTTCTTCCACCCTCTACAAGCAGGTTCGAGTCCCGGCCAAGAAAAAGAAAGAAAGAAAAAAAACAAAGGTTTTTCCAAGAATTATCCTGAACCCCCCTCCCATATTTCACTATTAATAAAAAATATTTAATTATGATTGTATATTAATTTAATGTATATTTATAATAAATAATTATTAAAAAAATCTTCTAGAGTTTAAAATTTATAAATTGAATTAGATTTGATATACATAATAAATTTCCTAAACTTTCAATAATTAATTTCTATATCTTAAAATTCATATATACTATATTTAAAATATATATATATATAATGTATACATATATTATTAATATATATGTATAATAAATGTGTAATATATTATGAGTACAAATCTCACGTATATTTATAAAATATATTATTATATAAATATAAAACAAAAAAAAACAAGGACTACTACTTCTCTCAATGAAGCTATAAAATCCTTAAATCCCCAAAGTATAATAGTAAAATAATCATAATAATAATATATAAATCCAAATCAGGTAGAAAAATATGGAGACAAACAAAAAAAGTAAAGGAAATACACACAAAGAAAAAAAAAAAGAATTGTGAATATAAAAAATAAGAGAAGGATATATAAGTAAACTAGATCGACAAGTTTGATCGAGGTTGACTACTACTACTAATTTATAACTCTGTATATTATCGATCGGATCTGATTGCATCGAGTCGATAAAACGTGATGACCTTGTCGTGGCTTTCACGATGACTCGCCCACCCGGAATTAATGGCCCCCCTAAGGTCTTTCGATTAAAACGTTACGTCCTATCTATTTATCTATCTATCCATCTATTAACTCCTCCACGGCTTTACTGCTGTGATGATGGGATTCGGATGAAATCAACGCAAAATAAGCATTATTAACTTCGTTGCGAGATAAACTTTTCAAGTATATTACCAACTTGAAAACTACAGCTACGTTAAATTATTTACAAACACGGCATTAAATTATATTTGACTTATTTACTAATTTGTTTTTTTCTTTATACATACTTACATACATACGTACATGCATATACATGTGTATAAAAATATTTTATTAGTTCAAATTACTTATTTTTTCAGATTAGGTTTAATAATTGATTAAATCTTTTTTATGTCATTATTTTCCCTTTTATTATTTTTTTATTATTTCTTTCTGTATTATTGGATGGATAAAAGAATTGATAAAAAAAAAATATATATATATAATTAAAAAATTATTACTAACGTGCTTACCTCAAAGTAACATCAAAGATTGTCAAACGTGATACATGATCGATCGATTTCTTCTTTGATCTGTAACAAAAAAGAAAGGTACAAAAAATTAAATCAATCATAATGTAGGCTAATTATAATTACTATAATATACATAATATATATAATAATAAGTTACTATATACTTTAATACTTGTGCTAAATATTTATTATTACGAATATTTTTCTTTTCTTCTTTTTTTCCTTCTTCTCTTTTTCTCTACGGTGTTTCTGAAAAGTACCTATATTTACTAGAGCTATTGTAACTTAATTATAGCTTGTCTATATTTAGTAAAACAGGAAGTACGAAGGAACGAAAGGATCGCAGTTAAAAGGATCTATTCACATAGATCAGAGAATGAGCCCCATGACACGGCTGAGAATTTTTAAGTTTCTATTTATAAAGGGTGTGAACGAACGCTATACCAGAAAGACAAGACTCTTTCGAATCTGTTTTTGTCGAAAATCGATCTTGAGGAATTTCGAAACCCCCCCAAAAAAAAAGCAACAAAAAAAAAAGAAAGAAAATTGCGAAATGAATTTCCTTCACATTTTTTGTTCGAACTTTTCTTTTTCTCTTATCTCGAACTTTGTTTCTCGTCAAGAAAAAAGAAAGAAAAAGAAAAAAAGTTCTGTAAAAAAAAAAATCCAAAAATCTCTCTCTCTCTCTCTCTCTCTCTCTCTATATATATATATATATATATATATATATATATATATATATACCTGTCTATAGTTTCTCGGTGAAAAAAAAAAGAAGAAAGAAAAAGAAGAAAAAAAAAAGTGAATGAAACGAACGAACAAAAAAAAAAAAAGGGAAAATAAGAAAGAAAAAAGGAAAAAAAAAAAGTAAACAAAAAAGAAAAATGACTCTACTTATTCGTCGCGAGGCTCGGCTCGTCTCGTCGGTTTATTTAAGTAAAACGTCTCACTGAGCTGGAACGAGCGCCACCCTGGATATATATTTATACTCGACGGTGATAAAAGGGAGGTGGAAAATAGTTTTTGACTGGCCTGCGCGCATCGTTCAAAAGGAAAATGGGGAGTAGGGAAGGGAAGGGAAGAGAAGAGACAGGGAGGATGGGACGAAGAGGTGGGATGGGTGGGCCTGGGGTAGAGAGGCGGAGAGACTTCTTTGATCAGTGTCAAAGACTTAAGAAAGAGAGAGAGAGAGAGAGAGAGAGAGAGAGAGAGAGAGAGAGAGAGAGAGAGAGAGAGAGAGAGAGAGAGAGAGAGAGAGAGAGAGAGAGAGAGACAAAGAGGACAGACAGAAAGAGAACCGTCATCATGTCTGAGCTCTTGAATTGCCAATCTTAAAAAAAAAAAAAAAAAAAAAAAAGAAAAAAAAAATAACAGAAAAAAGTAAAGAAGAGAAAAAAAAAAGAAACTTATGAACCAACGACGAACTCGTATTTAATTGAAAAAGAAAAGAAAAAAATTTACGTACGATTATAAATGACGCTGTTGATTAATATTTTTTTTTTTTTTTTTTTTTTCATAAGAAAAAAAGATAGAAAAAATGTCCTCGCAAATTTCTTCGATTTTTGTTCAAAAGAAAAGAAAAGAAAAAAAAAATAAATAAATAAATGAAAAAATATTGTACGAAATTTTGCACGTGCAATTTTTTTTCTTTTCTTTTCCTCTCTTTTTTTTTTTTTTTTGATTTCTTACTGTTTTCGATAATTTGTAACAGGTTAATGAAAAAGTCACTAGACGAAGAAGCTTGCGAAAAAGTCCCTAGATTCGAACGACCAAAAGTTAGTTTTTAATTGCTATCTTTTCTCTTCTTTTCTTTTTCTTTTTCCTTTGAAGTGTTTCAAATATAAGTATATCGATTTGTAAACAAAACAAAAAATATATATATATATTACCATTAGGAGTATTAGATGGAGCATTAGAAATAATCCATATAATTACAATGAAAAAGAATTAGAATCAAATTTATAAAAATATTTAGATAATATAAGATTGTCATTGATGAAAAAACAAATCCTAACTATTTCTAAATATGTCTAACAATGATTAACGATTTAGAATGTGAATAAAACTATTATAGAAGATCTATCATTCTAATATTTTACAAATGATTTTACTAATGTTTTATTAATGGGACATGCATAAGATTAAAAGAGACAGAGAGACAAAGAGAGAGAGAAAGAGAGAGAGAGAGAGAGAGAGAGAGAGACAAAGAGACAAAAATAAATAAAAAAAAAAATTAAAAAAAAAGAGAGAGAGAGAGAGAGAGAGAATAGTAATTAAACGAAAGGTTAGAAATAAAAGAAAACGTTTAAAAAAAAAAAAAAAGAAAAAAAGTATGAATACTTTCTTTCCATTTTCCTTTTCTCTTCATCATTTTATCCATGAAGCACTTGAAGTATACAGTAAATGCTGAGTGAAAGAGAATGAGACAGATAGATGGATGGATATGGATATAGATAGAAAGAGATAGAAATATGAGATAGAGAAGTACGGAATAGAGTTTTTGAGTAGTGGAATGAGTGGAAGAGAAGGAGGAGGAGGAGGAGGAGGAGGAGAGGGTAGGGAGTGTGGATAAGAGTAGAGGATTTGAACAGAGATATCAGGGGTATGAGGAGATGATGACGGGTGGAGGAGGAGGGGGAGGGAGGGAGGGGGGACTGGAAGAGGAAAGGTAGGAGCAATTGCTGAAGCTTTCTCTCCGTGGTACTCGTGATTATTCGTTGGTAGAAAAAGAAGAAAAAAAATAGAAAAAAAAAAGAAAAGAAAAGAAAAGAAAAGGAAAGAGATGTATCTAGATAGACAAAAGAAGAAGCAATACGGTGTATAAGACCGGTGTATTCCACTCTTTCCGCGATTAACCACCTCAACCCTCAACCCCTAACCACCCCATCAACAGCCAGACCTTTACTCCCACCGCTCCAACTCCCACCCCCCGGTGTGCCATTGTCAACCCATTTTTTCTTCTTCTTCTTCTTCATCTCTCTCTCTCTCTCTCTCTCTCTCTCTCTCTCTTTTTTTCTTTTTTTGCTTTCCAAGTCTTTTAACGCCACGTCGCCGGTATATTTTGCCCTGGTATATTTTCTGGTAACAAAGAAGAAATGAGGAACGAGTGAAAAGACTAGATAAATCTGTGTTAGTGTATATATGTATGTATGTATGTATGTATGTATGTATGAGTATATGTATGTATATGTCTGTCTTATTTTTATTTATATATATATATAAATGTGTGTGTGTGTGTGTGTGTGTATGTAGGTTATGTCATGTTACGTTATATATGTATGTATCTTTCACTTGCTGTTGATGTTTAGTAAGTGTACGTTTAACGAGAACGTTATTGTAAAAAAGTTTCCTTTCGTTATATCCGTTCTTGCTCGAGTTTATCGAGAAAGAGAGAGAGAGAGAGGGAGAGAGAGAGAGAGAGTAAGAGAATGAGAGAATTTTATATAATTTTATATAACTTCGTATAAAATTATACGACTTTATGTAATAATATTTTATTAATATTCATTGTAATGATATTTATTATATAAAAAAAAATATACATATATATATATATATATCGATTATGTATTATCATTATGTATATATTATATTTTTTTATATAATAATTATCTAAAAATGCACATAACAATAACGTAACAATTATATAAAAAAAAAAAATATATATATATATATGTGTGTGTGTGGTTGTATATTCATAGAAATATATAGAAATTATATAACTGAAAAAAAAAAAAAAATACAAAATAAATAAATAAATAATTTACAACATTATGTATAAGAATAATACTTAAACGAAAAAGATGAAACGAAGTTACTTCAAAAATATAAGAAAAAATAATCAATAAATAAATAATTGAAATACCACGAGTATTAAAAAAAAAAAAAAAAAAAAAAAAAAAAAAAAAAAAAAAAAAAAGAGAGAGAGGAAAGAGAAATAAAGTAAATAAATAAATAAACAAATGGAAACGAACAAATTGAATTTCTAAAAGAAATAAAAAAGAAAGAAGTAAAAAAGAAAAAAGAAAAAAGTAACAAACACGTATCACATTCCCTTATCATCTTTATCATAGTTAAGAGACATGTTTGTCATATAAGTTAGTAATATGGTGACTATTATCGTTGCTTTCTTTCATTTCTTTCTTTTCCCTTTCCTCTCTTTTTCATTTCTTCCTTTTTTTCTTCTTTTTTTTTCTTCTTTTTTTTTCCTTCCTTTCTTTTTTTTTTTTCTTTTTAATTAGACGTAGCAGACGCGTTAGAACGCAGACGACACGCACTCTATTTTCTCTTATCTAACTTCAAGTCCTTAGAACCCCTTAGCCCTTAAACCTTAGCCCTTCGCGCCCTTTTGTCAACTGACTAAGGGCTCCTATACCAGTCATATACAAAATGGCCTCCTTCGATCTTCCTAAATACAATTTTTCGAGGGTTACGTTTATTTTCTCTCTCTCTCTCTCCCTCTCTCTCACACGCGTACACAGAAATACAGTGGTCATCTATCTCTATCTCTTTCTTTCACACGAAAAGTACTATACTCTCTTAAAATGACTCACTCATTTTTCTCGTTCACGCCTTACTCACGCTTCAACGAAAAACCAGCTTCGTTTTTACAATTAAAACGATTTAATTAATCCTGGAATCCTTAATTGTATCATCGGAGGCAAAAGGAGGAAAAAAAGAAAAAAAATTAAAAAAATAATAAAAAGACCAACAAACAAAAAGAAGAAGAAAAAAAAAAAAAAGGAAAAGAACTGGAAGTGGAAAATAAAAATGTATGTCCTCTAAATCTGATTGATACATAAATTTTCAATTTCTTTGTATAATAATACTAATTATTATTATTATTATTATTATTATGGACATCCCTTATATATATAAAAAAAAAAAAAAAGAAAAGAAAAAAAGATTACAAACTATTACAAACATCAATGTTATATCATATACGTTAATAAATTTCGTTCTATCCATTTCGATATATATTTCAATGGAACGATCAACAAACCAAACTACAAATGAAACCGGTGCTTTTAATAAAACGTAATTACCCAATATAATCTCTC